GTAAATAAATAAAAGTCAGCAGCTACAAAAACTGTAGCTGCTGACTTTTAAAAAACAGCCACTCACCTGTCCCACGATCCCACGGTGCTCCCACCGCAGCCCATTTTATTACTGGCCGTCTTGTATTCCAGGCACCAGCATCTTCAGTGTGGGCACCCAGCTGTGATAGCTAGCAGCTTCACAGCCGGGTGCCCACTGCGCATTCATGAATAGCGCTGCGCTTCATGAATGCTCCCGTCGTCTTCTGGGATCTGTCACATGTCCCACAAGACTACGGGGAGGGAGGGTAGGAGGACAACTTCCTCTTCTGATCGCCTAGGTGATCGCAGTGCAAGTGGGGGCGGGGTATCTGTCAATTTCGGGAACACACTCCCCCCCGCTCCCCAAAGGTGCCAATCCTGAATGTGGAGCGGGGGACCAATCTTTAAAGCAGAACTTCCCCTTTTGGGTGGAATTCCACTTTAAAAATTATTTGTCATATAGTAGAGATATAACTGTCTCGGATTTGAAGGGGAACCCCATAGCCAAAAAATAAAAAAAAGTGGCTTCCCCCAAAATCACTCACACACCCTTTTCTGAGCATACAGTCCTGCAGGCCAGGAAAGAAGGGTGAAAGAGCAAGCTCCTCCCCAATAATTAGTTCAGGTACTTATATAGTGCTGTCAGTTTACACATCGCTTTACATATATATTGTACATTCACATTAGGCTCTGCCTTCAAGGGGCTTCCAATCTAAAGTCCCTAACTCACATTCTTTTACTAGGGACAATTTAGACAGGAGCCAAAACAACTACCAGCATGTCTTTGGAGTGTGGGAGGAAACCCACACAGGCAAAACATGCAAACTCCATGCATTTAGTGCCATGGTTGGGATTTGAACCAGCAATCCTAGGCAGAAGTGCTAACCACTAAGCTACAATGCTGACCATACTGTAGAGTATATAGAAGTACCAATATTCAAAAATTAAGATTCATAATTATAAGTAGATATTATGAGAAAATTCGAATTAGACATTAAAAATTATTTGTCATATAACGAGAAATAACTGTAACTTGAAAATAGTATGCATTACTCTGTAACATTCCATAAAAAATGCATTTATTTTCAGAACATGTAAAAAACGCTACAAAAGAAGAGAGTGAATAATAGAATTAGCATCAAAAGAAGCCAAACAACAAATCACACCTGCCAATTGTTTCTTTTTACACACACATATACACACAGAGACATGGATCTTGGCTTAACCAGTTCCCTACCGCGCTATAGCCGAAGGACAGCTACAGCGCGGTTGTCTGATTGACGTCCATGGATGATGTAATTCCAGAGTAATTCCACGGCGCCGCCGGTGGTCACTGTGTCCTACAGACACAGCTGATCATGGGATACGGTAAACAGTCAACATCGGCTTTTTACCACGTGATCAGCTGTGTCCAATGACACAGCAGATCACTGGTAAATGCAGTTGCCGTTTATCTGCTGCACTTTCCTCACGCTGTCACAGCTTGAGAAAAATACTGCCGATAACTGGTAATTGTCAGAGGACAGATCGGCACCGATCATCCGGGCACTGATGATCAATGTCCTGATGATCAGTGCCCATCAGTGCTGCCCACCTGTGCCCAACAGTGCCGCTCACTTGTACCCATCAGTGCCACCCACCTGTACCCATCAGTGTCACCCACCTGTGCCCATCAGTGCCACCCACCTGTGCCCTGCAGTGCCACCCACCTGTGCCCATCAGTGCCACCCACCTGTGCCTAGCAGTGCCACCCACCCAAGCCCATCAGTGCCACCCACCTGTGTCCAGCAATGCCACCCATCAGTGCTGCCCAGCAGTGCCACCCATCAGTGCCTTTCATCAGTGCAGCATCATCAGTGCCAGCTCATCAGTGCCACCTATTAGTGCCTCCTATCAGTGCCCAGCAGTGCTGCCTATCCGTGCCAACTCATCAGTGTCCATCAGTGCTGCCTATCAGTGCCCATCAGTGCTGCCTATCAGTGCAGCCTCATCAACGCACATCAGTGAAGGAGAAAAATTACCTGTTTGCAAAATCTTATAATAGAAACAAAGAAAAACTTTTTTTTTAAATGTTTTGCTCTTTTTTTGTTTATAGCGCAAAAAATAAAACTCCCAGCTGTGATGAAATACCACCAAAAGAAAGCTCTATTTGTGTGAAAAAAATGATAAAAATGCCCTATGGCATGACCGTGCAATTGCCATTCAAAGTGCGACAGCGCTGAAAGCAGAAAACTGGCCTGCGCAGGAAGGGGGTAGAAGTGCCCTGTAGGCAAGTGGTGAATCCTGCGCTCCTACACCCTCTAGGGACCAAGTTTAGCATTGCCTAATATGTACACGTGACTATGCCGATTCGACATTTACTAAAGTCATTTTCCTATGTGAAGTTGCTATTCCAATCACCACAGCAAGGTTGTTTCAGTTAGGTGCAATCTGGTGTCTAACATCTATTGCTTCGCCTCATCCTTAGTAAATCAACCCCATTGTTTGTGAACTGAGCTGCACAATATTTGGAAAGTGAATATTTTGTGGATACATTTTATATAGTATTATTTTTAACATTTGTTCTTGGTTTAGGTAGATTTTGAATGTGGTCATACACATTAGGCTTCATTCACATTAGGGTGTTTCAAACTGCAGGTGGAATCGTCGCAATTATGACCACACTTTGAAAACGCGGTGTGACAATGTGAAAACGCCAAAATTGAGCTTGGAGGTGCCATTCATTTCAATGGCACCTGAAAATGTGGGACATTTTGGCCGCAATTGCGGCGCACTTTTCCGCATGACAAAAGTGCTGCGATCGTGCAAAGTTGCGGGACGCCTAAAAATGGTCCTAGAAATTTTTTGGTTTGCACAATGGTGGTGCATTTGTTGCAAAAAAAACCCCTGTGACCATGGCAAAAATGCCCTGCGTTTTTAGGTGCCATTGAAATGAATGGTACCTCCAAACGTAATTGCGCATTTTCACATTTTTAAAAATGCACTACATGCATTTCTGCAGCGTCTCTATTGAACCAAAACACAATGTCATGCATTTTAAAAAGTCCATGACCCTTTCCAAAAAACGCACCGAGTGAAAGCACGGAGATGTGAACCTTTCTCATAGGAAATCACGTTAAATGGACTGTAGTGCGTTTCTGTAAAATGCAACGGAAAACGCTTAGGTGTGAGCCTAGACTAAGGTGGTGATTAAAGTCACTTAGTGCCTTACCTGCATTAACTTAGCCCCAGAAACTGTGTAATTAATATGTATTCAGTTCTAAAGGGATGAGGTGGCAACCCTAATACACATATTTGTATGGTAAGGGGGACGTCCGGACCACCAGGTCATTTATTGGCATCTATGACACTAATGTGTATATATATATATATATATATATATATATATATATATATATATATATATATGAACCTTGCAGAGAACAGTTTCTAATTTTTGTCTGGAGTTCCACTTGAAAGCCCTCATGAACAAATCTCATGCACTGTGACTCATTGTGTATAATGAAGTACTGTACTGTCTGCAAAACACTTTCCAATAACAACACGCTGCTTCTTTCAAACATTCAAACAGTCACGGTTACCAGGTTAAAGTGTTCTGCAAATTGGTATACCCAACTGTCTGTACTTCTCCGCATAGAGAAACATGTTTTCGGCCATGTTTCCGGAGCCTGTTTTACAAGAGTAAGATTCGGTCTCAAACAAAATGGCTCGCCTCTCTTGCTGTACAAGTGCGGTGGCGCTCTAGTGGATGGAATACAAACAAAACAACATACCTATGGAGAAGGCGTTGTTAGTCGCTAAGGAGACAGCCAATCAGCTACAGGCAAGCAGGTGACAGGAGCGGGCTAAATTTGAAGCCAGTATAAATAGCGGGGCCACGGAGAGCCGGTATTGTGGATCCATCAGACAGGTGAGAAGAGATGGTTGGATGTAGTGGCACTGGGCTGTGGTGCAGTGTATGGAGATGGTCCCTAACAGAGGCTGTGTGTATGTATTTAGCATGTTGATAGGCTTCTATGCTTTGCTATCACTTATCTACATCCAGTGCCCTTGTACTGTGTTGGGAACATGTTCCCTTGGTTTTCTCTGCACATTGAAAGTGTAATCATTGAGTTACTAGTCACTGTTGATGGTCGGGAGAGTTGGTGGGGTGGGCTTCTGATCTTATGATCATGCTGGGGTTGTGAGCTTTAACTACTTCCTCTCCAGAGGATTTACCTGCTTTTTCAACCAGACTTTTTTTTTTTTTTTATGATGTGTTTACTTTAACTGAAGTGTGAGGTCATGAAACTCTGCACCAAAACGAAATTGTGTATACATTTTTTTTTTCCTTTCTTTTGGTGTTTGGGGTTTTTTTTTTTTTTTTTTTTTTTAATAGCTCAGGCATGTAGCAGAATACATATTTGCTTACATTTGTATGTATTTTTATAAATAAGGGTAAAATGCAGCAGGAATTATCTGGGAAGCATAAATGAATTTTATATTGCCAGATCAAGTTCTTCTCCTGCATTTAGTCTCACTAGTGCTATCTGAAAGTCATGTGACTTTGCAAATGACAGGAGTACTACTTTGAAGCAACTTTCAGGGAGTGCTTGCGTAATCTTCCTGTAATGTTGGATCTAAGTCACATCAATATAGATGAGGATCTGACTTGGAGGTGACTTCCACTAACTCCTTGCCCTCCTCAGGATTTAAACCTATGCTATGCGGTTGGGGTGCGTGGCTCGCTCATCTCTACCTGGAAATGCAAAATTGTATGTATTAGGGTAGATGTTAAGTGTGCTTAACCACTTGCCTACCAGGCACTTATACCCCCTTATTTACCAGGCCAATTTTCAGCTTTCAGCGCTGCTGCACTTTGACAATTGCGTGGTCATGCAACATTGTACCCATATGAAATTTTGATAATTTTTTTTTCTCACAAATAGAGCTTTCTTTCGGTGGTATTTAATCGCCACTGCGTGTTTTATTTTTTGCGCTATAAATAAAGTGCAAAAAATTTGAAAAAAAAAAGTTTCTTTGTTTCTATTATAAAATTTTTCAAACAGGTAATTTTTCTCCTTCACTGATGTGTGTTGATGAGGCAGCACTGATGGGCAGCACTAAAGGGCACTGATAGGCAGTACTAATGAGGTGGCACGGATAGGCGGCACTAATATGCAGCACTGATAGGCGGCACTGATAGGTGACACTGCTGGGCACTGACTGGCGGCACTGACTGACACTGACTGCTGGACACTGACTGGTGGCACTGACTGGCAGCACTGCTGGGCTGCACTGGTGGATGGGCACAGGTGGGTGGCACTGCTGGGCACAGGTGGGTGGCACTGCTGGGCGGAGCTAGTGGGCGCGCTGCTGGGCACAGGTGGGCGGAACTTGCGGGTGCCACTGCTGGGTACCGATCATCAGGGCACTGATCATCAGTGCCCTGGTGATCGGTGCCGATCCTCGCTCTGACAACTGCCGGTTCTCGGCAGTACTTTCCTCACGATCTGACAGCGTGAGGAAAGTGCAGCCGAGAACCGGCACTTACATTTCCCTCTGATCAGCGTGTCATTGGACACCGCTGATCACGTGGTAAAAGGCCGCTGTGATTGGCCTTTTACCACATCACGTGATCAGCTGTGTCCGTAGGACACAGCGATCACGGAGATCGCTGGGTGCGCGCCCCCTGGGGGCGCGCAGGAGAGCGCGTTCTGGGAGGACGTCATATGACGTCCACTCAGAACTAGCCGGCCGCAGTGCAGCCGTCATTCGGCTATCTGCGGTCAGCAACAAGTTAGACTATGGGTTGAAGTCACCTTTAAGTAGTACAGGAACCTTTTCTAAAGTCAAAGCAACTTCAGTAGTGCTTATTAAAATGGTTGATTAACATGGGATTTCACATGTCCTGTGACTTGGGATCTCATGTCGGATCCCAAGTTGCAGCAGAGTGAACTGAGCTTAAAGGCTCCACTCACAGGTCTTTGCCTGCCAGTGTGAAGATGTGAAAAAAATCGGGGGGGTCCTGGTGATTAGTTGTGGGAGGCAGCCCACTAATTTTCTCACATGTACACCCTGTAAGGCCAAAGGGCAGGTGAGAATGTGGCCTAAATTTACAGCTTTAGATGTGCTGGAAGTCTTATCTTCCCCTGGACACTTAGATTTCTAATTTCTCTAAATGCAGCTAAGCTGAATATGCCTGAATGCATGGAAATGCCTAGTGTGAAATGCTCTATATAAATGTTTGTATTTATATTTGTTAGAAATGTCCAACACATCATTGCTAGTGCAAATGAGGTCTAAATTGTATTTAATTGCTGTGACACCTGATATCTGTGTTCTTTTAGACTAGATATGCACCCAAGTGTCCTTTGACACTTGGGCTAAGGTGTGTGTGTGTGTGTGTTGACCTGGGGGTTATACTCCTCCTTTACCCTATCCAAAGTGGGGGGGGTTACCTAGAGTTCTAATTTAATGTAATTGGCAAATTAATATTACAAGATGGATCCATCTGTAACCTGAGGCTTGTGAAAAGGTTCACTTTCCTGGCAGCCCCTTGCCTCCCAAACAAAATAAGCTACAAAGATTTAAGAGCTCTGGACTTCCAAGAGGTACAAATAAAGGTAGTTTTCTTGTCATTGCCTGCTGGGCACTTGAAATTCTACAAGAAGGCATTTCTGCAATTGGCTGGGAATCTATGCTGTGGGTTTTGAGTACCCACGTATACCAGGAAATGACAGACCAAAGTGACTAATTTTTTGTAATGTAACATATGTTCAGCTAACTGTGGATGGCAGTGGTCTGGTAGAAAAGCAAACATTCATGGAAGGCCCACTTTCATATATTTCAGAATGCCCCTCTCTACTGTGTTTTTGTATATTCTGGACTTTCAAATTGTTTACTCTTGCACTTGCTCTGCAAGGGGCTCTCCTATCTTCCATGTTTTAAAGAATAAGTTCATCTTTGGAAAAATATTACATGTTTTTGCTTTTATTTAGGATGTAACATGTTCCAGCTCCTGGTTCCTCTGTCCCCTCTGGCAGGGTCTGGAACTAACATGGTAGACTCTGGAAGGGTCCTGAACTAGCATCAGCTTTGCATAAAATAATTTTTTTTTTTTTTTGTATATTGCAGAACATCTGGATACTGGTTTTTATTAAATGAGAATGAGCAACAACAAAGGCTTACAGGCTAAGGGCCATCCCAATCTGCAACTTCCAGTGACACCAAGCATAACCAAACGGAAACAAGTACAGCAAAGGTAAATGGTGTCATAACTCCTTGTATTTAGATATTAGCTTAAACTGCGCTTTTTTTCACCTGTGTAAATTTTATTTATTTCTGCAACTTGTATAGCACTGTCAATTTATACAGTGCTTTACATGCATATTATACAATCACATCAGTCCTTAACCCTCAGGGGGCGTACAATCTTTTTACCACTGTAGTGCTATAAATGACACTAGCCTTGTGAGGGCCACTTGTTTGTCTGCCCTGTTTCCCTTACTTTTCCCTGCATCCAAGCACTGTGTTCAGCCAAATACACACTTGCTTGTCTTCAATGATCAGTCTAGGGGATGTTTTGTTTTTGGTGTTTTATTGTAGAACTTGGGATACTCCAAAATCAGAACTAGTCACACTGAGGACATCTGAACTTGTCTCTTAGAGTTACTAAACCCAGGACCCTGCATTCACTATATCTGGTCTCCCACAGTACACAGAACATGGAAATGCAATTATTTTAGTAAATAGAAGTAAAGATACTGCTGTACAAAAAGTATTTAGCAGTTTCTATCAGTATCCAGCCAAGCACTGCTTGTAGGAGGATGCAAAACCACTGACCTGTCTGGACCATGCTGATTGGCCCTGTGCGGATCACATGCACACTCCCAAGGAAAAAAGATCTAGCAATATACACAATTGAGCATGTGCAGAGTAACTGACACTATAAGTCTTATCAGGAGATAAGAAGCAGAACACTGGAAGAAGGGGAGGATCAGAAGTCGGGGTCAAACAGCCTTTTTACACATGCAGAGGATTAACTGTTTAGGTTCCACAATGAGTATAACAAGCATGCTTTACTGCATATACAGGCTGATTTTACTGTTTTTCTTTTGGACAGAAATACATTCAGAAGTCCAACTGACAACATGATATCCCCATGTTCTTTACAGTTGTTGAAGTCAAAGATTCAAAATGATTCAAGGTGAGCTTCTGTGAATGTAGTGCACCAAAATGACGTCTTGTCCCAAATTCAGGTCTTTTTGGCTGAGAAAAAATGAGCAGTTTTTTTTAAATTTAATATTTTATATGTATTCAAGTGTTTGAGTTTAAATGATAAATTTTATTTTCAACACTTTTTTTGGCCAATAGGGTGCTTTTTCATACTAAGCAGTTTTTGCAGCATGTTTGCATTGAAGGGAAAACCAGTTCAAGAAAATGCATCCCTTAATTCAATGTCTTAACTGGTCTGTTGTGCTTCCTTTGCAATGTTAAAAACCTGCTTGCTGTGTTTTTGGTGCATGGGGCATGTTTATATAAAAAAAAAAAAGCCTCCCCATTGAGGCCTGGTTCTCACAATGCATGTTTTAGGGCTTTTTGTAGAAATTCACTGCAGCTCATTTAACATTATTTCCTCGGACATTTTCACATCTATGCTTTTTTGAGCTGCTGTTTTTGGAAAGGGTTGGGGTTTTTTTTTTTTTTTTTTTTTTTTTTTTACACTAAGGTAAAACATCTCTTGACTAAAACACTTGAATGGTTGGCTTTAGTTGGGCTCTATATAGCTTGGTAGGAGCTTATAACTTTACTAGTTTATAGCTATGGGATGGGTAAGAGTGGTGAAATGAAATTTTTATTTTTTTTTTTTTTTTTTTTTTTTTTTAGGGATCAAAGTGTGGTGATCAAGAAGCCATTTCCAAAGTGTGATATAGATGGCAAAGAGAATGAGATGTCCTGAAGAGTTGCTTCTTTTACTGGCTGTTAAATTTCTGTATGGATGGGATGTTTTTTTTTTTTTTTTTATATATATGTAGGTTTTGGTTTCTTCCTGGTGAGGCTTTTTGTTTTGGGTTGCAAATGAGTTTATTTTAAATATTTATTGTGTGGAAAATGGCAAAGTTGTAAAGGGAATGATTCAATACATTGTTCAGAAATCACTTTCTTATCTTCCCAGTCTAAAAAAAGTGGTTGGAAATGTTTGTAAAGTAAATGTTAACTTATACATGTTTACTAGCTTGTGATTAAACTGATAAGATTAACTTGTTTAATCTCCATTCACCTGAAGACTCATGATTTGAACTGGATCCATGGAGGGGTGCCTACATGTTTAGTATGAATATTCAAATATGAAAAGTCTTTACAGGATTGTCCCAGTCTTAATTGCAAAAAACACTATGCAGTAAATGTTAAAATTGTATGTACTCATGCTTTTAGCCCTTTCACTGATCTGGTTAAAGCACATAGGCAAAATGGTTATCAAGACCAACATTTTCAGTAAAGGCTTTACACTAAACTTTTAGAGCACACAGATGCAATAGAAGTATGTCTCTGATTAGCCAGTAGACATGGTGCTGCTAGAGTTTCTCCAGGCTCTCCCATGTGATCAGGAAGCCTGCTATCTGATCCAGTGGTGCTGTTGGGCTATCATAGATAAAGGTCTGTCAGGTCCCCAGCTGTCAATATGGTCTAAGATGAAGCAATGTCTTTGACTTCTGGTTCTGGCAGAACCTTGTTTGTGTGGGGTGACCCCATATCTTGCCATAAAGGATTGTCAACCCTTCTATCACAAGGGCTATCCCTTCTTGTGATAGGGGAAAAAAAGGCACAGTGTAAAAGAATTTTTTTTTAATTTTTTTTTTTTTTTTACACAAGCAAAACATTGAGGTTTTGTGTGCAGTCTTGGTCCCATAACAGAATACAAATACATGCAGAGCACAGAGTTGACCTTTATTTCAAATTTATATTAGTAACTGTAAAACAGCTGTAAAAAAAAAACTTTAACAAATGTGGCAGTCCATGCTACAGTGACCATGGTCCTAGTATGAGATGGTAAGTGGCAGACCTACATCCATAGTAAAATGTTAACTTACTGGGGCTGCAGTGATAGGAGGTGTTAATGGTGGCTGGGTGTGATCAAGGACGCATGAAATGGCGGTGGTGTGTGATTTACTTCAGGCCTGTGGTGAAAGGAGAAGCATGGGCAAGCAGAATCCTGAAGTTATTAAAAGCATCTGCAGGATGGACTAAAGGTTTTATCTGTGGCACAGTCCTAAATCAAAGTTACAAATGTAGTGTGTGTATACAGTTTGACCACGCTATCATCATTCAAAGTGCAACAGCAGTGAAAACTGGCCAGGAAGGGGGTAAAAGTGCCCCCCCCCCCCCCCCCCTGTATAATATTATTGCCCATAGTATATG